TCGCGGGAGCCGGGGCTGTGGCAGTGGCAGCAGCGGGGCCCTGAGCAGCAGCAGCAGCAGCAGCAGCAGGGGCAGCAGTAGCAGCGGCGGGAGTGGTAGCGGTCTGCTTAGCGGGCGCTGCCTGGTGCCCCTTGTTGTTGTCCGCCGGGTGCTGCTGCTGCCGCCGCTGCTGCTGCTGCTGCTGGTCCCCCGGTGGTGGCTCCGGGGTTGGGGGGTGCTGGCGTTGCCGCTTGGCGGAGGGGGGAGTGGCGGCAACGTCAGCGGCGGCGTCAGGTGCTGATTCAGGCGCCGCTGCTGCTACTGCTGCTGCTGCTACTACCGGTGTTGCTACTACCGGTGTTGCTACTACCGGTGTTGCTACTACCGGTGTTGCTACTACCGGTGTTGCTACTACCGGTGTTGCTACTGCCGGTGTTGCACCTGCACCTGCAGCTGCAGCTTCTGTCTGTGGTCTTGACCGCTCAACGACCGGGGTCCCCGCGGGTGGGGCAGCGGGAACCTTCGTTTTCTCCCCCTGGGCATCCGGCTGCTGCTGCTGCTGCTGCTGCTCTTGCTCCTGCTGTTGTTGCTGTTGTTGTTGCTGTTGTTGTTGCTCCTGCTGTTGTTGTTCTTGTTGTTGCTGTTCCTGCTGCTGGGAGGGTCGATCTCCCTCCTCGTTCTTCCCTCCTTGCTCCTCCACCTGCTGCTGCTGCCGGGGAGGTTCCTCGGGGGGCTGCTGCTGCTGCTGCTCCCGCGGTGGGGGGTCCTTTGGGTCCGCTCCGGGATTTGGGTTGTCATCCCCCGCGGGGGGATGGGTCGGGGGTATGCCCCCGGGCACTGGTGTGGCTGCTCGGGAGACAGCGGCGGAACGAGAGCCCCTCCGCTTGGAGGCTGTTGTCGCGGCACCGGCTCGTGCGGGAGTGCGAGCACCCGCTCGTACTGGGGTTGCAGCAGCTGATTGCGGTGGCGCCTGTATGGGAGTCTGGAAGGGGGAAGAAGGCGCGTAAAGGTAGGTGAGGGATGGGAGTCGGCGGACGCCATGTGTCTCCGTTGGGACCCGAGCACCAGGGAAGCAATTTGAAGCGAGATTTGGGTATGCTCGCGGTGCTAATGATATGTTGCTGGAAATTGTATGCGTTGGTTCGTGTGACCCGCGTGGATGCTGGCGGCGCTTTCGCACCTGAGCTGCAGCGTCCGGTTGCCCACGATTAGAGCTCCTGGTGCCTACCATTCCTTACAAAGGTAACTTATCGTCGACGTGATGTCCACGAACCACGCGTCGAAATTACAAATACGTTGCGGCGCCTCCTTCGGCAGGCTTGCGAACCACCTGATAATCTGCCAAATCTACATCATCATGACTTTGTAGCGATACGAAAAATTTTAATGCGGTATGCGCGCTATAGACAATTTGCTTTTTCGTGGCAACTCGTTACGCCGTTTCGTGGTAAATTCAGCTTTCCGGACCGTAAATACGCTCAAATTTTCTTATCATCTGTAAGCAAAAGTATCGCTATATATTCCAAATAGTCTGGACGCTTCGCTTGGCGGCAGCTGGCAATCGACGGTTGTACGGGAGAACAGAATCTGTCAGGCTTTCCTTTTGTCTGAAAGCTCCTAAACGCTCACATGGCTTCATGGAGGCACAAACACTCCATGTTGTAACCCATAATATGACGGCTATCTTCCCCATGCTGCTCGCATAACCAAAAGCACAGTCTAAGGTGCCCATCATCATAACAACTTTATCCCAACCAGCAGATCATGCTCCGCATTCCAATGCAACTCATCCCTGGATCATGCTACAACCAAGCCCAAAATAATAAACCTCATTATCTCATTTTGACACCCACCCGACAAAACCATACTGAAGCACAAGCTAACGGCGCTAACCGCCAGGCAACAAATCCATACTCGCGCCGGCGGATCTCCTTACCCCATACACTTTCATACACTTCCACCCTTAATCTCCGGACCTCATTCCAACAAAACCCAATAGGTCCCCCTTCACACGCACATGCGCCACCACTTCCTCACAGTCCCCTAGCCGCCAGGTCCGCAGCCAGCAGCGCCCGGGCTCCCCCCGCTACGTCCAGCCTGGCGGCTGCCGGTGCGTCCATGATCCAGACCGCACTGCCCCCCTCCACGGGACGCACGAGGCGGGCGGGCAGGTCGCTATCCGGAACCTGCAGAGCGGACCGAACCGCCTCTGCCTTGCTGCCACCCGTCATAGCCACGACCACCTGGGGGAAGAGGGGAGTTCGGGGAGTTCAGGGGAGTTCAGGGGGGTGTTGTACGATGCGAAACCCAAAGAAACAATTACCGACGTCCTCGGATCAAACCCACATAGTCTCCCCACCCCCACCCCCACCACCCCCACACACATACACACCCTCCCTCCCATTACCATTACCACTCCCACTCCCGCTACCTGCTTAGCTGCGCACATAACGGGTAGCGACAGGGTGATGGAGGGCGGCTGCTTCTTATCCACAGGCAGCACCAAGGGGGCTCCGGGACCAGTGATGCTGGTTTCGGGGCGGCCCGGATACAGAGACCCCACATGGCCGTCAGCACCCATACCCAGCAGCATAAGGTCGAATCGGGGAACCACGTCGGAAGTCAGGTCCATGCCGTACTGTACGGCGACCTGTGCGAGTCAATGTGAATGAGATGAGGCGAGGAGGACGTTATGTCGTTGGTGGGAGTAGGAGTACGGGGGATCCTCAAAGCCTCTCAAGTCGTGGAATGTTGTACGGGACAAACTGAAAAGACAACAATTATGGCCCGGCGCCCGGGTGTTTGCCTGTCTGTCAGTCTGTTTCCTTCACAGCTCCTTTGGAACATCCCCTTCATTGGAACAACTCCCTTCTCATATACACGTTATAGCTCTCTCACACACACTCACACACACGAACCTGTCGGAGCCGGGATTCGTACTCCCGCGCCTCCACTACCGGGTCCGAGCCCCCCTGCACCAGGACACCAAGAGAGCAAAATATGGGTGAAATGTGGGGTATATATGGGTTTGTACGGTAATCGGGGAGTGGAGGACAACCTCACGTCATGCACTGCGGTACGTGCCCCCCTACCAACCCTCCCCTCCTCCCTTCGCCAACCAAGGCTCCTTGTTCTGCCCTCCATCCCCCCCTCTCCCCCCCGTCCACCCCGACTATACACACGCACACACATACACACACACGCACCCCACCTGCAGTGCCGCCACCTGGGCCAGCGGCGCCCCCACGCGGGTCAGGAACAGGTCCAGCGCCTTCTGGTGAGTGGAGGACTTGTCACCGGGGGGAACACACTTGTGGTTCACGTAGAACAAGAAAGTCTGGAACAGTAGCAGGGGGAGGAGCAGGGGGAGGAGCAGGGGGAGGAGCAGGGGGAGGAGCAGGGGGAGGAGCAGGGGGAGGAGCAGGGGGAGGAGCAGGGGGAGGAGCAGGGGGAGGTCAATAGCAGTAGCAGTAGCAGTAGCCACCCGCAGGCCGGGGAAAACAGGAGGAGGGCGGAGGACGGGGGGATGGCCAGATGAGGAGGAGCGCCGGGAGCGCGGAAGGGAGTTGGCGTGCGTGGAGGGGCCGCGGAGGACTGACAAGTTGAAGGTGGGCCCGCCGCGGTGTGTGTGTGTGTGTGTATTTCCCTGCTCGCTACGAATCCACTGCCAACGAAAGGGATGGGGAGAAATTTCGTCTCTCCCTTAACCGTCCCACCCCAAAACCCCAAGGGGCGGACCAACCCCACCCCCATTTCCATTCGGCAGTGGTTCGCCTTTCCCCCCCCCGTCCCCCCCTCCACCCCCCCAACCAACCCAAACCCCCCCTACCCGGTCCCAGGGCATGGGCTGACCCACGAGGCCGCCGCACATCTTCAGTACGGAGCCCCCCGGGATGGCCAGGAAAAACACACCACGCTGGGAAACTGCCGTACGGGCCGCCTGCACCACCAACTGCAATGGGGAGGGGGGTCGAGCGGGGTGCGGGGTCGGGGGTTGGGGTTGGGGAAAAACACTGGCACACAGGCTGACTGGTCGGTCCGTGGGAAGAGGGCGATGTGGAGTGAGAGATAAGGAGGGAAAGGGAGAAGGAAAAAGGGGGGGGGGGAAAATCCTGCCGGCCTCTCATACACACACACACACACACATTTCGGGTTCCTGGTGACCTCCCACCACCCAGGCCTTTCCCCCGACCTCCTTCGCGAACATTTCCCGGCCATATCGTGCTCATCGCGTTCTTGAGTCTCGTCGGAGCTCATTGACTCTTTCTATTACTCCCTCCTCTCCCCCCTCCTCTCCCGCTTCAACCCCCCCACACGGACACCCCCCACCCCCCCCACCCCCCACACACACTCACCTGGCATATTCTGTCCCCCACTGCGGCCTCCGAGGGGTGCACTTCAACGGACAGATCCTCCGGGTAGTCGCTGCCTGTGGGGTTGCGGGTGGTGCGGGTAGTGGGGGGTAGTGGGGGGTAGTGGGGGAGTTGGGGAAGGGGAGTTGTGGGAGAATGCTCATAACAAGTTACAAGTTACAAGTTCCACACACAAGTGCGGGTGTGTCCGTAAAAGCCAGGGGGCCCATGGACGTTGTATTGGTATTGATGCGGGTACGCGGGAGGTCGTCTTCATTCTCCCTCGTCCGCTTCAGGGCGAAGCGCCTCAGTGCGACGTGCCTGGCCTCCCAAATTTCCGAGAGGTACCTGGCCAATGCCAGGGGTGGCGCCTCAGTCATAATGGTGCGCATGCTGCGCCCCGTAAGGACTAGGTCACCATCATACTTAGCCCGTATAACAGGGAGTGGATCACCTCCACCCCCAAAATGTTCGATAATGCGAAACCCAGCGAAATGACAGCCCGGCGGGCGGCGGGACCCGGGTCCCGGGGAGGGCAGGGGAAGGGGTGGAGGGCGGGTTCATGTGCAAAAAGTGGTGTGGGAGTTCAGGCGGGGCGCGAGGGGAAGTGCAGGAGCGGAAGGGGGTGGGTTGGGATGTGAGGTTCAGGAACAGAGCGCAGTGAACCGGGGTAGGATAGGCCAGGGCAGGGTAGGGCCACGGGAGGGGGACGTGTGTGCGTGTGTGCGGGTTGTGGGTGTACGGAATGACCCTCTCTTAGTGCACCACCGTCTGATCGGCAGGGCTCAGGGCTCAGGGGTTATGGGTTATGGCTCGCAGACTAGCGGGGCTTGGAAAGCTGTGAGGCCTACCTGAGGTAACTTCGACGTAGGAGATCAGGGCGCCGCAGGAGACATTCCGACGAGCAGCAGCAGCTGCAGCGGCGGCGGGCAGTCCGCGCGGTCGCTGCGGGCCCGATATGAATGAGGGCCGCAGATGCTGCTGCAGTTGTTGCCCTGCACCTGGTTGCGTGATTTCATACGTGTTGGCATATGGGGTGGCGGTGGTGGTGGTTGCGGTGGATGAGGATGTAACGGCGTGGGCGGCAACGCGGCGGCGTGGCGGGACCTCGGAAGCCGCTGGCCTGTTGTGCTTGGTGCCATGGACGGGGCAGCATCGGGGTTAGGTGGCTGGGAAAAAAACAGCGACACGATTGCCATCATACTATTCAATCATGAATTGTTATTCCTAGCTTAAAGGTTCATGGCCGATGTTTGTGTAGGTTAATTGAAGAAGCTCAGCATGCGCTGCATATTTTGCCTCCAAGACCTTGACCCACCAGTTAACGCGTTGGATAACATTAATTGCCGCCATGATGTTGCAGCTTCGCCTGGAAAGCTGGTTGCACAGAGCTCTCAGATTATTTATTTATCCTGTACGGATGGATCCCAAGCTGGTTCCGATTCAGCATTTCAACAACAAGGAATATGACCTGCATCCCTGTTTTGTTTGTGCTGTCAGACATGTGATCTATTGGCGACATTTTATCGTGTGGCCTGTTTAGCTGTACTAGGAGGTGTCTGGAGACAGCCGTGTTTTAATTCGGTTAAGCCCTTATCCCTCATTGCATGCATGCCCTGTCGACCAGGACAAATACCTATCTGAAATGTCGCTATCTATGTTGGACCGGCTATCGTTGCGTCCTTCATGTGCCTGACACTCTGCGCGCTCCTCACTGAAGGGGCGAAATTAGATGGAATTTTACTCATGTTGCTCCAAGGCTCAAATGGCTATCAGTTGTTTACGGCCAGACCTGCTCCTTTCGCTTTCTCTGCAAGGTGGAGGGATCCTCTTACTGCGATGCCTATCTATATAACCTGGAATTCCATCTCCAGAATGCAATTTCCCTTTGGCGAAGAGTGTTCTTAGAGTAGGAGCTGCAGCAGGAGGCTTATGGAGGTCATGCATGTACAATTGCCGAGCGAGCATGCTCGCGGCCACGCCCTCCCGCGCATGCTCCGCCCGTCCCTCGCCTGGCAGTATGTATGGCGTGCATTGCTGTGCGCACTCTTCTCCAACCCAAACTCTTGTTCCTTCTAGATACTTTGTGTTACATCGTGTTACATCGTGTTCATGTTAACAGTCAAGGTAGTCATTAGCACTGTCGTGAGTCGGGAGCCAGCACGAAAGTAACTACGACCGCGCACACCTGGATGGTGACCATGCTCGTCCACTTCAGTCAACCCACAAATATAGTACTTATGTCAAAGCTTTTACGACCTAAACTAGTAGTTTGAAGCACTACATGTACATCTGCACGGGTAGCTACCGATAAACACACACATGCCAGCAGCCCACGTTAACAGCCTCAGCTGATGTCCGCACAGGCGCTCAGATACAGCCCGTTCTCCAAGGTTGCCCGCTTCAACGTCGATTCTCCCATCCCTTTCCTTGAGGATATGGCAACCTGTACAGGAAGGGGAGGACAGACTGAGCCGGACTACGGAGGGGAGCGTGGTGATACGGCAGAGATATAGGTAATGGACTCAACTGTTGACTGTCATGTAACGGTTGGAATGGTGTACGTACACATACACACACACACACACAAAAAAAAACACCTACCTGATGTTGCCGCCGGGGAGAGTCCGGGGGCGCCGCTGCACCCGGGTTTCATCCATCCCTGTTCTGATGCATAGCCCTGCATGAGTGGTACACCAGGGCCAAGAGAGCTGAGAGAGGTCCTCTTTCCTCCCCAAAAGAGAGGGAAACCAAAAGGGATTGTCGCCCCTCGTTGGCGACGGTCGCTTTGGGGACTTTGGGGACTTTGGGGAGTCCGCGAGGGTCATGATGACGAGTCATGCACACAGAGTCACACGTACCCAAGAAACCTTAAATACCTGACAGGCCGCGAGGATAGGATTATAAGTACTTAGGGATCTCAGGGTTTTAGGATGGTATTTATGGTAACCATATCTTCTCAAAGGGTTTTAGGATGGTATCTATGATTTATGGTCGAGGTGTATTCACCTCATCTACCTCGCACCCCCCCCCCCACCATCCGAGAAGCCTGTACACAGCTAATACGTGTATCGAGGGGTCAGCTGCGAAGGCAGTCCCATGGAAAGCGCTGAGGCAACACCGGTCCATACAGCTGCCACTCAAAAAACGCAGTTAGAAACTAACTACTCGGCCGGGTAACTCACAGCTTGGCGTCCAAAATGGGCGTCTGGAGCCCCCAAGCAGTTGTTGTCGTTGTGTGTAGTCCCGTGTTGTTGCCGTACCGACGTGACGTGGAGTCATGGCGGAGCGAGGACCGGGAAGGTGTGTGTTTGTGTGCGTGTGTGGCGCGCGGGGGAAGAGAGAGAGTGGTATGATAGTGTGGTATGATAGTGCGGTATGATGATAGTGCGGTATGATAGTGCGGTAAACCGTCCCCATGAGGAAGCAATATGCGTGTCGGGGACAGCGAGGCATGGAAAAGGGAGCGGAGCGTGAGTTCGCGTTACGTGGATGGAGAGGATTGAGGAGAGACCGGAAATGGCCGTGGATTACCCGCCTGCCCCTGCTAGCTAGCTGGAATGTTTTCACACCTCCCGAATCCCTGAACAGCCCCAGGTGGTCCCAAACACGTGCATTACTGGTGGTCCCAAGCAAGCACTGTGTGTCACGAAACACATGGCTCTCTGCTCAAACGGCTGCTGCCAAGGTGGTGCAGTCTGCCACCCCACGTCCTCGGTACCCCGGCTGCTGCTGGAGTGGAGACAAACAAAGCTGCCCCCAAGATTGACATCGTGCACATCATCCTGCCGTCCCGGCTGTCACTGAACAGCGTACTGTACATGTATATGACAACTGACCATCACTGACAACGGCAGGAAAGTAAATAAAATACATGGTACGGAGTTCCGTACAGCCGTACCGGCGGAAGCGGCGAGGGGGCTTCTGCAATGAGCGGTCCGAAGGCATTGGCGGCGATGGGCAGCAATTGCGGAGCCCTGGGATGGGTGCTCAGGCGCCTGCGGGGTTGGGACGAATAAGTGTGCGTGGGCCAGGACTGCGGAGTGAAGGCAATCCAGGCAGACAAGATGGCTAAAAGCAAAATATTGTGACATGACGGTCATTAGTGTCACGACGGTCATGTGTTTTTTTACAACGCAATGCAAAACATGGGATGCATAGGTCACAATCGGTCTCACCAACGAGCAGGCTTCTTTCAACTGGCAGAATGTCTCTTGGGGATTAGCATGTGCAAGCAGCGAATAGGCCACGGGCAAAGACGGCTCAATAGCATGCTGCACAAAGCCTTTAACTGCTAGCTAAAGACGGCGTATGTAGGCACACGAGTGCCAACTACGCAGGAATACGAAGCGGAGATGTGACCCGTGGGTTGAAGATCGACTTTTCCGTCATTCGCCGCACTCACTCGATGGTCGTTGGTGCCAACTTCGCAACGACGGGAGCCAGCTTGGGCGCAGCTCTGCTTTCGGCGAGGCGCCTGCGCGGGGCATGGTGTACATGCGTGTGTAGAGAATAGTGTGGGTTTAGCGTGCGGACGTGCGCAGATCGCCGGCGGTAAAGTTCACACAGCAAGCAGAGGAATAGCAGCAGCAGATGCCATCAAGGGACAGGGGGTCCCGACGGGACGTCGGGTTAATGGGCACATCGGGGACTTCCGGGCGAAGCTCAGCGGGGTATCTTTCCCAGGCCCAACTGCTTATAACTGAACCACAGTCGCATAATAATTAGCGCGCGCAGGATTAAAATGTCAGGAACCCCACAGTATATTTACTGTCCAAACATGATAACCAGGAGAGGAGAATCCAGTTCACATCTACCCGCGTTATCCGTCCCGCAATCCTTAAGCCCTTACACCACCACATGTACAATACCACATGTACAATACCACATGTACAATACCACAATAACACAGCTCTTAGCTCAGCTACAGAAAACCCCAACCAGGACCAGAAAGCCGTTACCACCGTTACCCCTTCCAGCGTCATCCCACAAACTTACTCCCCAAACCGCTCAGACGCTTGTAGCGCCTTCTCCTGCTTCTGTTCTCGAAAGGCCTCACCCTGCACCAGTCAAGGCTAATTGAGTAACAGGGCACGCGGCTGTTGCGAGGTGCTCAGGAGGAGAGCAGGGGGGCAGCGATGATGTGATGATGTGATGATGAATAGCGGCATAGAAACCGCGAGTCAAGGCACTACGTGTCCATAGCTATGGAGGGGTAGCTAATGGGCACCTAATGGGCATTCTTCTCATACACACCGCGGTCTGGAACGTTTGCGGTCGATTGAGCGGTCTATTGTCGCAGGCAGATGGACAGGCAGGCATGTAGAAAGGGTCGGGACGGGCTAAGGAAGAGCAGAAAGAATGGCAACACTGGCGAAGATATTCTGGCAAACATACATGCATACATACAACAACATGGGAAGCCAGGAGTGTATGTGCGTATGTATGTATGTCTCATGTTCAGTTATCACGGCAAGACCGTTGAATGCAACCTAATCTAAATGGGGCCAGCTTGCGGCTTGGAGCAAACCTTTGATGGCGCTGGAGCGGGTGCAGGTGCGGGCGCGGGTGCGGGCGGTGGCGCTGGTGCTGGCGGCGGCGGGGGTGCAGGCGCTTGCGCGGGGGCTTGAGCAGGCGGCGGCGGCGGCGGGGATGGCGGTGGCGGTGGGGGTGGTGGCGGCGGCGGGGAAGGGGAGCTTGCGCGGGGGCCAGCACTGGCGGAGGTGACGGTGACGGTGAAGGTGACGGTGAGGGCGGTCTAACGGAAACTGATATGGTGACGGAGGCACTACTGGTGGCGGTGGCGGAGGGGGCTGGTGGGGATGGAGGGGGCGGAGGGGGCGGAGGGGGTGGAGGAGGTGGAGGGGAGGGAGTAGAGGCCGCGGCGGTGGCAGTAGCACTAGCAGTGGCACTAGCAGTGGCACCAGCAGCAGCACCGGCAGTAGCACCGGCTGCAGCTCCAGCAGCAGCACCGGCTGCAGCTGCGGCGGAAGCGGCTGCCGAAGCGGCGGCGGCTGACGGAGGGGCAGAGGGCGGCGGCGAGGGCGGCGGTGGAGAGCTGGGGGCCGGTGCCGGCGGTGGCGAGCTGGGGGCCGGTGCCGGGGCTGGAGAGCTGGGGGCCGGTGCCGGCGGTGGAGAGCTGGGAGCCGGTGCCGGCGGTGGAGAGCTGGGGGCCGGTGCCGGGGCTGGAGAGCTGGGGGCCGCGCACGGGGGTGCTGCGCCCGTGGGCACCGGTGCGCAGCTAGTCCCCGGCACCACGATCTGAGTGGCCCGCGGGTCCTGGGTCACCGTCACACCGGCTGGGGGAGGATACATGGGCCAGCAGTGTTATGTGCGGGAGGCCGGGGCCGCATGCATCGACAGAC